TTTTTTTTTTTTTTTTTTTTTTTTTTTTTTTTTTTTTTTTTTTTTTTTTTTTTTTTTTTTTTTTTTTAAGGATTTGCAGCCTAGCTTTTTAATTCTGTGCTTGCTTCTGATGTATGCAGATCAGGCCATGCAATTAGTTTGTATGAGCATTTATTATTTGACTCAAGCTATATATGAATTCATATATAGCTTGAGTCAAATAATAAATGCTCCTGGCACTGTAATGCTTGAGTCAGCATGCACATTTTTTAAGTAGATTTTAGTTGCTTGAGTAATACAGATCTTAGTGATGGATCGTAAGTCTCAAGTCTAAATGTCGTAACTTCTGTGGAAAAATAAACGATGTGCTTGCATGTGAGAAGGGGAGAGATTTTGGTCTATCACTCAAAGCTTCTTGCTGCTGAGAAGCTGAAGGATATACTGTATGATAGACTACCAAGAGTTGTCTTTCTCTGTCTATGTATAGAAATACGTAATTAAAATTGCTCTGTAAATACAGTCTGTGTGCTAAAGTTTTGTTAAGTGATGACAAATGTAAATATAATTGCAGATACTTATGTGCTGGAAAAGTTTAACTGATACTGTCTTTGTCCTGGACAGGCTGTGCTTTGCTGCCTGCCAGCTCACCAGTGCATCTACCATCACATCGTGAGGTTACCAGTTTTTCTTGCTACAGTGACTCAGAGGATGAATATGTAATTATTGGTAAGACTTTAAATTATAACTGCAGAAACAGATTTATTGTTCAGCTGAATCTATTCCATTGCTTAGGAATTTCATTGACTTACTAGCGGTTATTGGAGGAGAAATAACATGAGAAAATGGAAACAGCAATGTATACATGGTTCCTTATTAAAACACGTGCAGAAAAACCAGACTGGTGCAGGATTTCCTTTCTAGCAAAGAATATCTTTGCTGATTTTAGAGGCTGGCTGTGGCTGGATACCAAGTGACCACCAAACCACTCTGTCACTCCCCCTCCTCCACTAGAAAGGGGATGGAGAAAATACAAGGAAAGGCTTGTAGGTCGAGATCAGGACAAGGGAGAGATCACTCACCAATTACTGTCACAGGCAAAACAGAGTCAACTTGGGAAAATTAGTTTAATTTATTGCCAATCAAATCAGAGTAGGGTAATGAGAAATAAAACCAAATTTCAAAGTACCTTCCCCCACCCCTCCCTTCTTCCTGGGATAAACTTAAATCCCAATTTGTCTATCTCCTGTGGCTTCCCATGGGTCCTGCCAAGAGCCTGCTCCAGCATGGGCTTTCCTCTGGGTTGCAGTCTCATTCGGGCATCCATCTGCCCCAGAGTGGGCTCCTCCACAGGCTGCAGGTGGATCTCTGCTCCCCCATGGACTTCCATGGGCTGCACCACGGGCTGCAGGGGAATCTCTGCTCTAAGTCCTGGAGGACCTCCCATTCCTCCTTCTTCACTGACCTTGATGTCTGCAGAACTGTTCCTCTCACGTTCTCACACCTCTCTGCAGCTACAACTGTATAGGTGTTTTTTTTTTCTCCCTATTTTAACTCTATTATGCCAGAGATGCTGCCACTATGGCTCATGGGCTCAAGCTTGCCCAGTAGTGGGTTCATCTTAGAGCTGGCTGGCATTAGCTCTGTCAGACATAGGGGAAACATCTGGCAGCTTCTCGCAGAAGCCATCTCAGTAGCCCCCCTCTACCAAAATTTTGCCATGCAAACCCAACGTAGGGACTGAAGTTACAACAAGGATTAAACCCAAGCAATATAGGTGAGAAAAGTGTGAAACTGGCCCAGCCTCAGCCACCTTTAGCAACATTGTTTGAGAGAATTTAGGACATGATCATTTCCTGATTAAACAGGTTGACTAGGTTTTAGGCAGCCCTCCCTCTGCTTCAGGACTTGAGCAGAGTGTCTCTGTTCCCTTATAATCACGTCCTTTGCTTCTCTTCAGGACATCCTGATTTTTCTTTGGTTAACCTCTGGGTTTAACACATATAGAAATAGAAACCCTTAAAAGAGTCTGTGCAACATTTAACCTCTGTTTTATTTTTTTTTCTGATAATAAATAGGGTTTTTATTGCTCTCCTTGGTTTTATAGATTTATTTTTTCACCTCTTCTTTCCCTGATCAAAGAATGAAGAACTAGCTCCCACAACTCCGTTCCTGGTAGCAAGAGTTACTTTGAGATGTATGAATGGGAAAATGTTTGTCTTGAGAGAAATAAGAATGGTCAAAACTAATGCTACCAATACCTTGCTGGCATAAGGATATTGTGTCCATATAGACATAGTGAAGAAGTGTGTGGTTTAATTCCATTCATCTCACCTGTTACTAACTTGCTTATAGCATTAGCTGGTAAGTTTGTGATCAGTGTCCCCAAGCATCTGTCAGTGTCCAAGAAAATTAGTGTGCGCTCCCTTGGCTCTGTATGTTATTACTTACTTCAAATGCCTTCTGGCTGGACCTCAACCAGCAGGCACTTTCTGTCCTTAGGACTTCTGCTCTGGAAGGGAGGCTGATGGTGATGTTAGGATGCATAGGTGTTAGGGAATCTTCTTCATTTACCTATGTCAGAGATATACAGAGGAGATAAGACTCCTTATGCCTGTTTTACTGCTAGGATTGAGGTGATTTCCTGCATCCAGCGGGGGTGTTGTAAAGATGAATATATTTTAGACTGACACTGTGATGACACAGAAGGTAGATATGAAACAGTGCTGAGTAACAGAAGCTTTGTTTCTTAGATGGCTTGATAATGTTTTCTCCTTTATCACAGAACTTGAAGACCTTGAAAATCTGTCTGTCACTCCAGATAAAAGGTATGTATCTCTAACACAATCCTCAGCGGCACTACCTTTTCTGCTGGAGCAGCTTTCTAGTGGTTCTTCTGGCTGGGGCAGGGAAAGGTGTGGGAGTGGTAAAGTTGGTCCTTCCAAAGAAGGGGAAGGAATGCTGCTTGACAGCGAATGTCTCTGGTGCTTGGCTTAGCAGAGTGTTTCTCTGGTCCCTGAGTCTGCCTGGAGGCTGGTGTCTGTGGCTCTTCGAGGGCCTGGGTGTATCAAAGAAAGAGGGTAAAAGTGAAAGGAAGGGAGAAAACCTTTCAGAGAGGTAGAAGAGGCACTGGAGATGCTGATGACATACTGCTATTTTTCGCTGACTGTATTCCTTAACTTTCAGATCACCTTTTGAACCAGGCAGCAATTCTGCTGAAGCGACAGCCCAGGAGTTGTGCAGAGCTTTCAGAAAATACTGGTTGCAGACAGACTCTGTAGTTCAGCTGTCTGGTTGCCTGAGCTCATCTAAGCAGAGAGTGAGTCTGATCTGAAAACAACAAGCTCTTTATTCAGTTCCCCAAATAATCATTGTCTCACTGCAGCTGCTTCACTGCTAGCAAAAGGGGGAAGCTAAACTAAAACAAAAACAAAACAAATATAGATGAGGGATTACAGTTTATTACTTCCCTTTAGATAAATTTTTAAAATATGTCTTCTTTCTCCAGCAATTTTCAATACATTTAAGACATGGAGTTATGAACAATTAGAATGTTCTTTCTTCTGTGACTGATATGAGGGAGTTTAACTAAGGGGGGACTACATGCAGGTGAAAACTGAACTTTAAAATCCTGGAGTATAAAGGGAGATAAACATCTCCCATAGCATTTAATGTGTGTCCAGCTGATGGGCTGGTTATATTCACAAGTTTATCTTTCCCAATAGTCTGTGCTGAAAGAAGAGATTCCAAAAGAACTTGAGTCCAGTTTGAATCTGGCTGAAGAAATAAAGATCCTATCCAAATTAAGAGGATCTTCTGGCTGGTCCCCGCCAAGATCGCAGATTATATTTAATATTCATCCTTCAGTCAAGTAAGTTTTGAGAGATCTGAGCATTGTCATTTAGTATAGCAGGGGGGAAGTTGATGGAAGGAGCTTAGGAGATTAAAAGATCCTAAGGTTATAGCTAGTGCATGGCACAACCTTCTGCAGTATCTGTCACCAGCCTCACTAGGAAGTAGATGCCATCTTTTTCCCCTCTGTTGGCATGTCCTGATTAACATGACATGTGCACTTCTGCATGTGATAATGCATGTACCATTTGGTGTTACAGTGGCAGCACACTTAGATGGCTCATAAAATTTCATTTTGTGACACTACCCGAAGATTATTCTTGACTTTCCCCACTTTCCTGCTAATATTTTATGGATAGTAGGTTTTCAGAAAGTGGGGAGGAAAACACGTCATGTTTGGGGAAAGTGCTGTCTCACACTCTCTGTGTGCTGTAAAGTGCACACAGAAGGCAAACTGGCTAATCCTCATATTGCTGCAGGTTTGGTTGCTTTTTCAATTGCAGATGGGGACTTTCCCATCTCCCAACCTCTTGATATTGATGCCATCTTAAGAAATGTAAAATAATTTAATTTTTTCAGCAAGCTGTATTTGATTATATATTCTCCACAGAAGAGCTTAGAGTCCCCCACTAAAATAATAATCTGCATCTCCTTACACAACCTTCCTTCTTCATGTGGAGGAGTAGGACTCAGCTCCTAAGTTGGGACATTTTCATTGGTTCCAGTGTAGCTCTTCTGTACTTTGGAAGAATGTTAACTAAAACTGTGTTCTGAACGCTGAAAGGCCTAACTATTTGCTTCTGTACACAGGAGAGATGCAGTGGTGGCTGCTCAAAACTTCACGTGTGTTGGCTGCGGAACTCCGATAGAAAGCAGTAAGTATTACCAAAAGCAGAAAAAACCCCCAACTAAGTGCATTACTAGTAATCAGACCATGATCTTCAACAACCCAGATGTGCCACAATTGTAAAATTATCTGAGCTAGAAGAAAAATCTAATTGTTGGATGTTCCCGCAATAGTAAAACAGACAGTGGTATCTTTCCAGTGTCTGGAATTTCTCATTGTGGACTGAATACAATACTTGATAGATGTCCTTCTCATACACAATAAAAATTCATGACAGTCAACAACAAAACAGGAAAACCCATTACAAAAATCAAGCTTCCAGGCTGGAAAGTGCTGGTTTTATGTCTTCCAATTGTTTCTTTCCATAATTCTTTGCCAGAGACTTTATGCAAGCTTAAGGAATGTGTGGTTTTGCTCTTTCGGGGTGTCTCTTTAATTTTGTATTAGTGATACTTTGTGAGAACTGCTTGAAAGCACAATTATTTACAGATCTGACAAACAGACCTTACCTAAGAAATCTTTGAAGTGGCTACCAAGACTTGTTCTGGGTCAGCTCACAAGAGCAGCTTTTGGCCTGTAAAGTATCAACAATCCGTGACAGCACATTAACTCAAGCAAGCCTGAGATGCTGTAATAGCTGGCAAAATGCCACAAAACTCTTTATGTGAGAATGTACTATGCAAATGTGACTCCAAAATGGGTGTAAATTTTTTGTTCTGTATTTTAACTTGTGTCTCTTTTGTGGGTTTGAAACAATATTTAAAACAATAGTTTCTTTAAGATCTCATGGTGGTAATTATAATGAGTTCAACAAATGTGGACATGAGGAAAGCTTTCTGTTCTAATGCAAAGTGCAGAGCTTGTGCATGTGTTTACCACGATAATAAAATGCCCTACCTTAAAAAATTCCTTTCCCCTCATTCCAGTAGATTGGAGTTATTAAGACAGAATAGGCATACAAACAGGAGGTATGTCATAAAATTTCTAAATCTAAATTTCCCATTTTAGAAATAGTCACAGTTTCATTCCTGTCTACTTGCAGAATATATCAGGAGACTCCGCTATTGTGACTACCTGGGGAAATACTTTTGTGACTGCTGCCACAGCTATGCCCAGTCTTGTATTCCTGCCCGAATACTTTCAAAATGGGACTTCAAAAAATA